GCGCAGCGCCTCCAGAAACAGCAGAGATAGCACCGGCACCCTCAGCCTCAGGGTCTCCAGCGACAACTCCTGCAGCACCACCAGTCCTTGCAGCTCCAGTACCTCCAGTACGAGCACCTCCAGGACCAGCTGCTCCAGCACCTCCAGCAGCTCCAGAACCACCAGGACCTCCAACAGCACCAGTACCACCAGCAGCTCCAGCAGCTCCAGCACCAGCTGCACCTCCAGCAGCTCCAGCACCAGCAGCACCTCCAGTAGCTCCAGAAGTACCTCCAGCAGCTCCAGCAGCTCCAGCAGCTCCAGCACTAGTAGCACCTCCAGCAGGTCCAGCACCAGTAGCACCTCCAGTAGCTCCAGCAGCACCTCCAGCAGCTCCAGCAGTACCTCAAGCACTAGCAGCACCAGCAGCACCACGACAGCGCCGAGCGTACCACTCACGAAGCTGCTGCAGAGAGAGGGGCTCCCGCTGCAATGGGACACCCGGAGAACCTCCAGACTCAGCACGCGCAGGCTCAGCACCCCCAGACGCAGTACCCCCAGGCTCCACACACTCAGGCTCAGTACCCCCAGGCTCAGTACGCCCAGACTCAGCACCCCCAGGCTCCACACGCTCAGGCTCAGCACCCCCAGGCTCCGCACCCCCAGTCCCCGCACCCGCAGGCTCAGCACCCCTAGCAGCACCTGAGTTGACAGCTTCCTCGACCGGCTCGGCAGGGTCTACCTGGGACACACCTGAGGGGGCAGGACCCTGAGGGGGGAGGGGGTCTACCGGAGGAGTACCTGGTGCTAGGAAGAGTGGCGGGGGGGGGGGGGAGAGAGGCAGTGCGGTAGGGAAAGAGACGGTAGTAAGACACCGACTCGTCAAACGTGACGTCCTGAGAGGACAGAACACGACGCGAGGTGGGGTGGTAGAACTGCCACCCGGGTGCGTCAGGGGGGAAGCCAAGGAAGACGCAGGGAACGGCACGGGAGGACAGCTTGTCCGCTGAAGTATCGCGGACAAAAGCTTGAGTTCCCCAGACACGGAACACAGACGCATCGCCAACCTTCCCCGTCCACCGCAGAGTAGGTGTGGTCTCCGGCAAGGAGACACGAGGCTGAAGGTTGATCTGATGCGCAGCGTACTGAACCGCGAACGGCCACAGAAAATGGGGAGCAGCCGCATGGATCATGGACGTACGAGCGACGTCCATGACCATGCCAATGCGGCGCTCAGCAATCCCATTTTTCTGTGGGGAGGCCGGAAGTGTGAACGTCAGGCGGATGCCCTCCGCACGACAGAAAGCCCTCAGAAGGTCGGAGGAAAACTCACCACCTCTGTCTGAGTGCAGACGCAGAACAAGAAGGTCCGAGCCGAAACTCTCGCTGAGCTGGCGACGGGCACCACGAATCCAGTCGATCAACACCTCAGTGACCTCACCCTTGCTGCGCAAGGGGAAGACTGTGGTGTAACGCGGGTAGTCGTGAACGACCAGCCGAAAGTAACGCTCGTGACCCTGTCCACGGACGCGGGCTGGGCCCCACACGTCCATGTGAAGATTCTGCAGGGGAGCCTCTGTCGGAGGGAACGTGGAGGAGTGAGGAGCGGCGCGCTGCCGGCCCTCGACACAAGGAACACAGGTAGGGGCAGGCCCCGGAGGAAGGGGAGGGAGGCACCGGGGGAGACCCGAGACAAGGGTACGGGAGGCCATACCTCGAAGACGAGGCAGGGAGGGGTGACCAAGGCGGTGATGCCAAAGGAGAGTCTCGTGCGACAGAGGACGACACGAGCAGGGGGCAGACGCTGGACTGGACCTGGACGCGGCAACAAACACCTGACTAGACGCGGCTACCTGACCAAATGCAGTGACCGGAGGAGACCCAGTAGTCAGTGTGTACAGACTCGACCCAGGCCGACGGGTGAACGTGGCCAGGTGGCGGCCCGTCCGAGAGCAAGTGCAGTGGGTCACACGCTGACCTCCAGGGGTGAACTGGTCAACCCACGTGTCCTGGAGGTCAGCTCCACTCACCAAGTTCGTAGAGAACGAGGGGAGGTGGAGTCCCGACAGCAAGCCCGACGGGGCCGCAGGACACGGTAGAACCGTGGAAGAGTGTGCAAGGACTGGGCCCCCAGAGGGGTCAGACAGGGAGACTGCGACAGGCCGACTGAGCGGCGTGAGTGTGGTGCTGTCGCGAAAGAAGGAGCGCGAAGCACCAGAGTCAAGTGTAAAAGTGTGCGAGGACTCAGTAGGTGCAGTACCAGAGAGAGCAGACTCACCAGCACCTGGAGCAGCAGACTCACCAGCACCTGGAGCAGCAGATGCACTAGCACCTAGAGCAGCAGCCTCAATGCCCGGGTCGGGCGGAACACTCAAATAACAGTCACCCTCAGCACTATCAGTCACAACATACATGGCAGCAAGGATAGCATCGAAATCAAGATCAAAGATAGCAACATTCTGCTTAAGCAGATCACCCCAGTGAGGGGGCTCAACAGCGTCAGGAAACTGGGCGCGATAGGCGTCAGTCAGACGACCGAAGCAGCGCTGCGCAGTGTGTGGCAGCTCGCACGTCTCCCCACGAGGCCCGCCTGTGCGATGAACGTAAGTGCAGGGACCAGCACCCCCAGATTTCCCACGCCCACCGTACCACTCACGAAGCTGCTGGGCCGACGGGGTCTCCCGGGAACGCGGCTGCTGCTGGCGCTGGCTACCACCAAAGCCTCCACGCTGCGCGGCTACACCTCGACCAGCACCAGCGCCGCCGCCACCTCCACCACCAACGCCGCTGCCTCCACCACCGCTGCCGCTGCCTCCACCACCCCCACTGCCGCCACCGAAGCCTCCACTCCCGCCACCACCCCCACCTCCACCGCCACCCCCTCCGCCTCCTCCACCGCCTCCACCGCCGCCCCCACCGTCCCCTCCACCACCCTTGCCCCCCTTGCCCTTGCTATTGCGGCGCCTCCCACTAGGAGCAGATGCAGCCCCGATCTCCTCAGTGCCAACGAGGTCGACAGCAGCAGCAGAAGCAACAGAGGGGAGAAGGGGGACAGGGGAACACCCCTCAAAGAAAGGGGTGCGACGGTCGCCACGAGAAGCACCTACAGCTAAGATACTCTTCTCAGCCGCAGTGAGGCGCTCCTCTAGCAGGTCGACAGTGAGCTCGGTGGGGAAAACAGAGAGAAAGTGGTCCCTGACTGACGCAAGGGAGTCAGGGAGGCGGGTGACTAGGTAGTAAAGGGTGATGTACATGGGGGGGGGGGTTCTTGGCACAGAACTCAGTGGGAAGGGCAGCGCGGTAGCGGGTGTCACTAGTGCGGAGGTGGGTAATGAGGTCATGACTGTGGCAAAGGCAGCTAGGTCAGAGAAAAGGTACGGCAGCATGAGGTGGCTGAGGGCAGCAGTGGCAGGGGAGGAGTAGCGCTTTACGACAGCGTCGTACAAAGACTTAGCAGTCTTGTACTGGCCAAAATGCGCGCGCTCAGCAGACGGCAGGTGACTACGAACAGCAAGGCAAGCAACAGCGTCACGAGTGGTCCACTGCGAGCGAACCGTACTGTCAGCAGTGGCAGCAGGTGCAGTAGAGACACCGGACGTGTGATCGAACAGGGATACCCCATCCCTAGAGTCACACTGAAGAAGAAGCTGTAGGTCGTCAACCCACACGTCAAAGTCAACTGCACGCCCCTCAGCATCAAAGGTGAGAACAGTAGGGCTAGCCATGGCAGTAGTAGCAGCAGTAGAGTAGTGGAAGCAGTAGGGCAGCGCGGCTCGGCAGTGCGGCGCGGCTCGGCTGGGCGGCGCGGCTCGGTGGGGCGGCGCGGCTCGGCTTGGCGGCGCGGCTCGGCAGGGCGGCGCGGCTCGGTTCCTGGCGGCGCGGCGCAGCGCGGCAGGGTAGCGCGGGTGCTTACCAGGGGCGGGTGCAGGGCAGGGCCGCAGTAGGCGGTTTAGGTCAGGGCCGCAACCGGGGCAGCAGCAGGACAGGGCCGCGACAAGGCGGCTGCAGGGCAGAGGCCGCAACGGGCGGCGAAGGCAGGGCCGCTACTTGGGCGGCAGCAGAACAGGGCCGCGACAGGGGGCAGCTGCAGGGCAGGGCCGCGACAGGCGGCGAATGGGCCGACGACGGGCGGCTGCAGGGCAGAGGACGCGACTGGGCGGCTGCAGGGCAGAGGCCGCGACTGGCGGCGAACGGGCCGACGACGGGCGGCAAAGGGGCCGGGACGGGCCGGCGACAGGCCGGGACGGGCCGAGACGAGCCGGGACCGGCCGGGTTGGGCCGAGACGGGCCGGGACAGGCCGGGACGGGCCAGCGACGGGCGAGCGCGGGGCCGTAGTGGGCGGCTAAGGCAGGGCCGCGACGCGTGGCGACGGGCCAGCGATGGGCAGCTACGGGCCGGCTGAGGCAGGGCCGCGACATACAAAGCTTTTATATGCTTACAAGGAATTTGAAAAGTTATACTTTAACTGTTTTCTGCTGTTGCGGTTCGATACAGTGACGACTCGGATAACTGCTCAGTATCGAGTCAGTTATGTGTCCTTGCTGTCGTAGTGTATTTTTCGTCGAGTCAAAGGTCAGCGACCTTTGACCTTCGCGTAACCTCCAACTGTTACGGTTGTTGACTCGCGTGTTGTTTCGCTGTAGTCCGCTTCGTTCTCGTGTCGATACTTCGATTACTTCAGAAGCGTTAGATTACTTGTTTCCAATTCCAACAATACCTTCCCTTGTAAGGTATGTCTTGTATCATGGGAGGAGTAGGATGCTGCTAGCCCCCTCTTGGATTTGGTATACGTTGGCATGCAACGAAGATATATCTAAATACTACCATGTCGATGGGGCAGTGGAGAAGGATTTCAAGTCTGCTTAGGGTGGAAGTAAAAATAATAATATCTAAAATCCTATTTATGTCTTAAGCGTGGCTGCTGATGCCAAAAAATGTTCTAAAGCATGTTGAAGTCGTCCATAAAGATTCGACTCTGGTATGTCCAGCGCAAAGCCGTTTGGTCCGTTGGATCAAGAATATGACCTGCGTGATCGTGTCGAAGCTGGGTTGCAACCCCCACACTGGGCCACCCACAGCCAATCCGTTCGAGCAGCAGCCCCACTGGCCGAGGATGCGCTCCGCAGATCCCCTCCGTCCGCGCAACCCAGACATCTGTCAGACTTTTCGGTTGTGCGCATCCGCCAGCCCGCGGAGATCCCAGCCCGAACCTGTTGGACTTGACGGGTACGGCTATATTCACGAATTTTGCGAAGCATGTTGACCGCTCGACCTACATCTAGCGAGCTTACGCGTAAACGCAACGTCGTGTTTCTAGAATCCGTCGTCCACTTCGCGCACTTCGTCGCTCCCTGGCTTATTGATCGCGCTCGCGGAAAGACACAAGCGCGAATCTTGCCGGCGGTGCTTCCTCTTCCGCCGCTCGGCCCACCTTGGGATTGGTTGATTTCGAAGCTCGGGCTGGCCTGCGCTGAACCCATCCTGTGGCGGCTGAGCGGGAACTGGTTGGGAGAAACCAGACACATGAAGCAGCCAAACCATTCCGCAACCAACTCAACCGAAGTCAACATTCAAGTTTGTCAAGCCAGGCATCAAATCTGAAGGGTGTGGCAAGCAGCCAATCTCCCTCCAGCCATCTCACCTTCCCAGTCAATCTCATCTTCCTTAGAAGCTTGTTTCTCCTTTTCTTCTCTGCTCTCATCCTGCTCTTTCTCGCCTCTGCAACCTGCATATTCCTTCATCCCTCTATGGCTGGAAGCGCTTTTACGCTATCATTGCTGTCGTTCGCCTGGCAACCCGTACGCGCGGACGTCGTCTCTTCTTGGTAACGATTTTCGGCGTTAGCAGCAGCGACCACTGCCGTCAGCCGCGATATTTCCGCCTTCAGCAGTGATTTATGCGGTCACCAGTAACGATTTGGCCATAATCGACTATCCGCCGGCTACCGATTTCCATCAGCAACAACGATTCTCGCAGTTAGCGCCGATCTCCGCCGTTAGCAACGAGTTTCGCCATCAGCAGCTTCTTTTCGCTCAGGAGCTACAATTTCGTCGCGAACAATTATTTCGCCGGCTAGCGATTATTAACTGCAACAAATATTTACGCCGTTGCCACCAATTTCAGCCGTCGACCGCGTTTTCCGCCGTCAGAAGTAACGATTTCGCTGCCAACAACGACTTCCGCCATCAGCGTCAATTTCGGCCGTCAGCATTTACGCCGCCACGTCAACTTCCGCCTCACGTCGCCATCTTTAACCCTCCATCAGATACGCTGGTACGTTTCGCCGTGAAAATCTCTCCAGCGATATCAAATATCGGATGAGCGCTACGATCTAAGATAACCATTCGTGTTTTCTGTCAGTTCCTAAGCAATTCGCGTGCCGTGTCAGTTCCCATTGAGCCTTTCACAGCTTCGTCGTTTGTAGTTTGTTTCCCTTGCAGGCAACATCACGCCGTGCTGCTGTGGCTGAGCGGAGCACAAGGCAAAATATGCTGTGGCTGCATCAGCGTACCCATCTGCACGCAGCCACATGATCAGCTAAGTGCTTGATCCTTCATGCATCCACCCTCGTTTCGTTTTCCTCGCATTTCTTCTTTCTCTCAAAACGGGGCAACTGGTGGAAGCACAGGAAACAACTCACAGGCCTCCCTTACTCCAGGTAAAGCCCTCCCCAGGTAAAGCCCTCAGGTAAAGCCCCCCCTGACTGCAGGTAGAAACCGAATCTTTAAGTCTGTGGCTCGTGACTGTGCGTCCATCAGTGGCCCTTCTTTCGCTCTTCTTCAATCCACCACGCTTGCATTCTCTTTCGCGCTGTGCCTCCATCCCATCCCACTCACTACCTCTCCTTGTGCACCCCTCCCCCCCCCCCTCCCCTCCCTTCCCCTCCCCCGCTTCCAGGCCTCATCGCGAGCAGCAGTGGCAGACGGACGTGGGGCAGCAAGCAACCACGTGTGGCTGCATCAGCGTCCCCATCTGCACGCACACACATAATCAGCTAAGTGCTCGCTCCTTCATGTGTCCGCCCTCGTTTCGTTTTCCTGTCATTTGTTTTTTCTCCCAAAACGGGGCCACTGGTGGAAGCACAGGAAACAGCTCACAGGTCTCCCTTCCTCCAGGTAAAGCCCTCCCCAGGCAAAACCCTCAGGTAAAGCCCTCCCTGACTGAAGGTAGAAACCGAACCTCAAGTCTGTGGCTTGTGACTGTGCGTCCAGCAGTGGCCCTCCTTTCGCTCTTCTTCAATCTACCACGCTTGCATTCTCTTTCGCACTGTGCCTCCATCCCATCCCACTCACTACCTCTCCGTGTGCAACCCTCCCTTCCCCCTCCCCTCCCCTCCCCTCCACTCCCTTCCCCTCCCCCACTTCCAGGCCTCATCGCGAGCAGCAGTGGCAGGCGGACGTGGGGCAGAATGCAACCACGTGTGGCCGCATCAGCGTCCCCATCGGCACGCACCCACATAATCAGCTAAGTGCTCGCTCCTTCATGCGTCCACCCTCGTTTCGTTCTCCTGTCATTTGTATTTTCTCCCAAAACGGGGCCACTGGTGGAAGCACAGGAAACAGCTCACAGGTCTCCCTTACTCCAGGTAAAGCCCTCCCCAGGTAAAGCTTTCAGGTAAAGCCCTCCCTGACTGCAGGTAGAAACTGAACCTTAAGTCTGTGGCTTGTGACTGTGCGTCCATCAGTGGCCCTCATTTTGCTCTTCTTCAATCTTCCACGCTTGCATTCTCTTTCCCACTGCCCCTCCATCCCACTCACTGCCTCTCCTTGTGCGCTCCTCCCCTCCCCTCCCCCTCCCCCTCCCCACCCCCTCCTCTCCCCCCTCCCCTCCCCTCCCCTCCCCTCCCCTCCCCTCCCCCGCTTCCAGGCCTCATCACGAGCAGCAGTGGCAGACGGACATGGGGCAGCAAGCACCCACGTGTGGCTGGATCAGCGTCCCCATCTGCACGCACACACACAATCAGCTAAGTGCTCGCTCCTTCATGCATCCACCCTCGTTTCGTTTTCCTGTCTTTTGTTTTTTCTCTCAAAACGGGGCCACTGGTGGAAGCACAGGAAACAACTCACAGACCTCCCTTACTCCAGGTAAAGCCCTCCTCAGGTAAAGCCCTCAGGTAAAGCCCTCCCTGACTGCAGGTAGAATGCGAAAATTATGTCTGTGGCTTGTGACTCTGCGTCTATCAGTGGCCCTCCTTTCGCTCTTCCTCTATCTCTCCACCCTCGCATGCATCCTCTTCTGCAGTTGTGCCTCCATCCCACTCACTGCCCCTTGTGCAACCCCTCCCTCCCTCCCCTTCCCTCCCCTCCCCTCCCCTCCCCTCCCCTTCCCTCCTCTCCCGCTCCAGCTCCCCTCAAAGGAGTTCAAGTGCTGCAGTGCTGCTGGTCGCCTGAGACGCCATGCTATGCCTGCTGCCCACGCTGCTTCAACTGCCTCCTGCTCTCACGCCATCAGCTAAGTACCCGTTCCTCCATGCCCTCACCCTTGCCTGCCACACCCTTTCGTTTCTTTCATCTGCTTTTGCACCGTCTTCTTGAAACTCTGCCTCTGGTCCAGCGCGGTTCACATTCCACAGACCCCCACACTTCAGGTAAACCCCTCAGGTGCAGGTACGCCCCTCAGGTTCCTTTTCAGGTGCCCTTGGTTCTGTAGCTTGTGGCCGTGCCTCCAACAGTGGCTCTGATTCCATTCTCTTGCGCTGGATTTGAAGTCACGGTTTCCCATCCAACTTGCTCACACCACTGTGCTCTGACTAGCTCTGTGTGTGCGCATTGCAGGTGGCGGGGAGGGGCGTGGGGGTCAACACCGCCACTCCCTCACGCCCCTCCCCTGTGGCCGTGCAGGTGGCAGTGGTGGGAGGGGAGGTGGGCAGCACTCCACTCGGCTGGGGCGGGAAGGGAGAGTATCGGGATTGGGTCGTCTGAAGCAAGGTGAGCCTCATATCCCCTCCTTTCTGTCAGTCATTCTGTTGCTTGGTCTTCTCCCCATGCCCACTTCTTGTCTCGCTCCTTGCCCTGCAATCCACTCTGTTTTGCATCTTTTCTCATTGCCCTCTGCACTCCACTGCTCAGCTTTCACATCCCCATCCTTTCCCCCCTCACTTCTCCGTCCTAATCTGCCCCCTCTCGTCCCAGCAGGCCGCTCACACGGGAGCAGCAGTGGCGGGGGACATGGAGTGCACCAGCAGCAGCTGCTCTCCACCCAACCCACCCGCAGCTAAGTACCCGCACTGCCTCTTGTGTTTATTTTCGTTCCATTTCAGTCCTTGCTGCATTTCACCACTCTTTCTATTCCATCTCGCTTGTTCATTGCTTTCGCTCTCTCTCACATGTTCTCACATGCTCGCTCACATGCATCTGCACGTCATCTTTCCATCCATGCTGCATGCCTCCTCACCGCAAACCAAGCCACTTGCAGCAGCCTAGCCCACATGGTGCAGACCCCCTTATACCAGGTATTCCCCCCCCCTCCAGCCCCAGGTTAAGCCTACCCTCACTACCTTTGGGTCTGCACCATGTGCCTAGCGCTGCTCCAGTGGTCCCTCTGCTGCTCTCACCTCCCACCCACCCCACCCTTGCTCTCCTCTCACATTTCTACCCCTAGCCGCATACTCACTTCTCTTCAGATCTCTCCTTTCCGTTGAGGGGAGGGGCGTGGGGGTCAACACCGCCGCTCCCTCGCGCCCCTCCCCTGTGGCCGTGCAGGTGGCAGTGGTGGGAGGGGAGGGGAGCAGCACTCTGTTCGGCTGGGGTGGGAAGGGAGAGTATCGGGCTGGATTGTCTGAAACAAGGTGAGCCTCTTTTCCCTTCCTGCTACAGATGTCTTATTTCCCTCTCTTCAATTCTGCATTCTTGATTTTGCTCTCTAGTGTTCTTCTGTTCACTTGAGTGTATCACTTGATGCCAACTTATCTGTTCCTCCTGCCCCTCCTCACATGTCCCTTGCGCCCACTGCCAGGTCACTTGGTGAGAGGGAAGGTTGCAGCACTCCACTCGGCTGGGATGGGAAGGGAGAGTATCGGGATGGGTTGCTTGGAACAAGGTAAGCCTCTTTTCGCCTCCCTGCCAAAAGTGCATTTGTGTGTGCTCTTTCCTTCATTCACGCTGCTGCCTTCCTTCATTCACGCTGCTGCCTTCCTTCATTCACGCTGCTGCCTTCCTTCATTCACGCTGCTGCCTTCCTTCATTCACGCTGCTGCCTTCCTTCATTCACGCTGCTGCCTTCCTTCATTCACGCTGCTGCCTTCCTTCATTCACGCTGCTGCCTTCCTTCATTCACGCTGCTGCCTTCCTTCATTCACGCTGCTGCCTTCCTTCATTCACGCTGCTGCCTTCCTTCATTCACGCTGCTGCCTTCCTTCATTCACGCTGCTGCCTTCCTTCATTCACGCTGCTGCCTTCCTTCATTCACGCTGCTGCCTTCCTTCATTCACGCTGCTGCCTTCCTTCATTCACGCTGCTGCCTTCCTTCATTCACGCTGCTGCCTTCCTTCATTCACGCTGCTGCCTTCCTTCATTCACGCTGCTGCCTTCCTTCATTCACGCTGCTGCCTTCCTTCATTCACGCTGCTGCCTTCCTTCATTCACGCTGCTGCCTTCCTTCATTCACGCTGCTGCCTTCCTTCATTCACGCTGCTGCCTTCCTTCATTCACGCTGCTGCCTTCCTTCATTCACGCTGCTGCCTTCCTTCATTCACGCTGCTGCCTTCCTTCATTCACGCTGCTGCCTTCCTTCATTCACGCTGCTGCCTTCCTTCATTCACGCTGCTGCCTTCCTTCATTCACGCTGCTGCCTTCCTTCATTCACGCTGCTGCCTTCCTTCATTCACGCTGCTGCCTTCCTTCATTCACGCTGCTGCTTCCTTCATTCACGCTGCTGCCTTCCTTCATTCACGCTGCTGCCTTCCTTCATTCACGCTGCTGCCTTCCTTCATTCACGCTGCTGCCTTCCTTCATTCACGCTGCTGCCTTCCTTCATTCACGCTGCTGCCTTCCTTCATTCACGCTGCTGCCTTCCTTCATTCACGCTGCTGCCTTCCTTCATTCACGCTGCTGCCTTCCTTCATTCACGCTGCTGCCTTCCTTCATTCACGCTGCTGCCTTCCTTCATTCACGCTGCTGCCTTCCTTCATTCACGCTGCTGCCTTCCTTCATTCACGCTGCTGCCTTCCTTCATTCACGCTGCTGCCTTCCTTCATTCACGCTGCTGCCTTCCTTCATTCACGCTGCTGCCTTCCTTCATTCACGCTGCTGCCTTCCTTCATTCACGCTGCTGCCTTCCTTCATTCACGCTGCTGCCTTCCTTCATTCACGCTGCTGCCTTCCTTCATTCACGCTGCTGCCTTCCTTCATTCACGCTGCTGCCTTCCTTCATTCACGCTGCTGCCTTCCTTCATTCACGCTGCTGCCTTCCTTCATTCACGCTGCTGCCTTCCTTCATTCACGCTGCTGCCTTCCTTTCATTCACGCTGCTGCCTTCCTTCATTCACGCTGCTGCCTTCCTTCATTCACGCTGCTGCCTTCCTTCATTCACGGCTGCCTCCCTACGGCTGCCTCCTACGGCGCCTTCCTTCATTCACGCTGCTGCCTTCCTTCATTCACGCTGCTGCCTTCCTTCATTCACGCTGCTGCCTTCCTTCATTCACGCTGCTGCCTTCCTTCATTCACGCTGCTGCCTTCCTTCATTCACGCTGCTGCCTTCCTTCATTCACGCTGCTGCCTTCCTTCATTCACGCTGCTGCCTTCCTTCATTCACGCTGCTGCCTTCCTTCATTCACGCTGCTGCCTTCCTTCATTCACGCTGCTGCCTTCCTTCATTCACGCTGCTGCCTTCCTTCATTCACGCTGCTGCCTTCCTTCATTCACGCTGCTGCCTTCCTTCATTCACGCTGCTGCCTTCCTTCATTCACGCTGCTGCCTTCCTTCATTCACGCTGCTGCCTTCCTTCATTCACGCTGCTGCCTTCCTTCATTCACGCTGCTGCCTTCCTTCATTCACGCTGCTGCCTTCCTTCATTCACGCTGCTGCCTTCCTTCATTCACGCTGCTGCCTTCCTTCATTCACGCTGCTGCCTTCCTTCATTCACGCTGCTGCCTTCCTTCATTCACGCTGCTGCCTTCCTCATCACGGCCTTCCTTCATTCACGCTGCTGCCTTCCTTCATTCACGCTGCTGCCTTCCTTCATTCACGCTGCTGCCTTCCTTCATTCACGCTGCTGCCTTCCTTCATTCACGCTGCTGCCTTCCTTCATTCACGCTGCTGCCTTCCTTCATTCACGCTGCTGCCTTCCTTCATTCACGCTGCTGCCTTCCTTCATTCACGCTGCTGCCTTCCTTCATTCACGCTGCTGCCTCCTTCATTCACGCTGCTGCCTTCCTTCATTCACGCTGCTGCCTTCCTTCATTCACGCTGCTGCCTTCCTTCATTCACGCTGCTGGCCTTCCTTCATTCACGCTGCTGCCTTCCTTCATTCACGCTGCTGCCTTCCTTCATTCACGCTGCTGCCTTCCTTCATTCACGCTGCTGCCTTCCTTTCCTTCACGCTGCTGCCTTCCTTCATTCACGCTGCTGCCTTCCTTCATTCACGCTGCTGCCTTCCTTCATTCACGCTGCTGCCTTCCTTCATTCACGCTGCTGCCCTTCTTCATTCACGCTGCTGCCTTCCTTCATTCACGCTGCTGCCTTCCTTCATTCACGCTGCTGCCTTCCTTCATTCACGCTGCTGCCTTCCTTCATTCACGCTGCTGCCTTCCTTCATTCACGCTGGCTGCCTTCCTTCATTCACGCTGCTGCCTTCCTTCATTCACGCTGCTGCCTTCCTTCATTCACGCTGCGGCCGTTCCTTCATTCACGCTGCTGCCTTCCTTCATTCACGCTGCTGCCTTCCTTCATTCACGCTGCTGCCTTCCTTCATTCACGCTGCTGCCTTCCTTCATTCACGCTGCTGCCTTCCTTCATTCACGCTGCTGCCTTCCTTCATTCACGCTGCTGCCTTCCTTCATTCACGCTGCTGCCTTCCTTCATTCACGCTGCTGCCTTCCTTCATTCACGCTGCTGCCTTCCTTCATTCACGCTGCTGCCTTCCTTCATTCACGCTGCTGCCTTCCTTCATTCACGCTGCTGCCTTCCTTCATTCACGCTGCTGCCTTCCTTCATTCACGCTGCTGCCTTCCTTCATTCACGCTGCTGCCTTCCTTCATTCACGCTGCTGCCTTCCTTCATTCACGCTGCTGCCTTCCTTCATTCACGCTGCTGCCTTCCTTCATTCACTGCTGCTGCCTTCCTTCATTCACGCTGCTGCCTTCCTTCATTCACGCTGCTGCCTTCCTTCATTCACGCTGCTGCCTTCCTTCATTCACGCTGCTGCCTTCCTTCATTCACGCTGCTGCCTTCCT